ACCATTTGGAACTATTTTTAAGTATACAGTTCTGTGGTAATAAGTACATTCACGGGGTGAGGGGAGTGGGGAGGGAGAGGATTAGGAGATATACCTAATGTAAATGACCAGTTAATGGGTGCAGCACACCAACATGGCACATGTATACATATGTAACAAACCTGCACGTTATGCACATGTACCCTAGAACTTAAAGTATAATAATAATAAAAAAATAACAACAACAAAAAAGTACATTCACATTGTTGTGCAACCATTGCCACCATCTATCTCCAGAACTTTTTTCATTTTCCCAAACTGAAACTCACCATGCATTAAACAATAACTCCCCATTCTCTCCTCCTCCTAGCTCCTCCTAGCCCAATCACCAATCTATTTTCTGTCTGTATGAATTTGACTATTTCTAAGTACCTCATATAAGTGCAATCACACTATTTGTCCTTTTATAACTGATTTATTTCATTTAGCATAATGTTTTCAAGGTTTATATACATTGCAGCAAGTATCAGGATTCCCTTCCTTTCTTTTTTTTTTTTTTTTTGAGATGGAGTTTCATTCTTGTTGCCCAGGCTGCAGTGCAATGGTGCAATCTTGGCTCACTGCAACCTCCGCTTCTCAGGTTCAAGCGATTCTCCTGCCTCAGTATCCCGAGTAGCTGGGATTACAGGTGTGTACCACCATGCCCGGCTAATTTTTTGTATTTTTAGTAGAGATGGGGTTTCACCATGTTGGCCAGGCTGGTCTTGAACTCCTGACCTCAGGGGATCCACTCACCTCAGTCTCCCAAAGTGCTGGGATTACAGGTGTCAGCCACCGTGCCCGGCCAGGATTCCCTTCCTTTCAAAGGCTGAATCATCAAATTTTGCTTGTTTATTCATCCATTGATAAGACACTTGGGCTGCTTCCATGTTTTGGCTATTGTGAATAATACTGCTATGGAATATGGGTATACCCATATTTCTTCAAATTGTTTCAATTATTTTATGTTTAATTTTTTGAGGAAATACTGTATGATTTTCCACAGCCTCCCCTCCCCTCTCCTCTCCTCCGCTCCCCTTCTCTTACCCCTCCCCTTTCCTCCACTCCCCTCTCCTCTCCTTTCTGAGATGGAGTCTTGCTCTGTTGCCCAGGCTGAAGTGCAATGGCGCCATCTCAGCTTACTGCAACCTCCGCCTCCTGAGTTCAAGTGATTCTTCTGCCTCAGCCTCCCAAATAGCTAGTATTACAGGCATGCACCACCAGGCCCAGCTACTTTTTGTATTTTTAGCAGTGATGGGGTTTCACCATGTTGACCAGTCTGCTCCCAAACTCCTGACCTCAGGTGATCTGCCGCCTTGGCCTCCCAAAGTGCTAGGATTACATGTGTGAGCCACCATACCCAGCCAGCTACACCATTTTACATTCCTACCAGGAATGTACAAGAGTTGTAGTTTCTCCACATCCTCACCAAACTTGTTATTTTCTGGTTTCTATACATATACATATCATATATATATAATTGCCATCCTAACAGATGTGAAGTAGTATCACATTGTGGTTTAAATTTGGATTTCCTTAATGATTAGTGATCTTGAGCATATTTTACTTGTGCTTATTGGTCATTTGTGTATCTTTGGAGGAATTCAAGTCCTCTGCCTATTTTTAAATTGGGTTGCTTTTTTGTTGTTGAGTTGTAGGAGTTATTTGTTTTTCTGGATACTAATCCCTTATCTGATATATGATTTGCAAATCTTTTCTTCCATCACATGGGGTACCTTTTCACTCTGTAGATAGTGTCCTTTAATGAACTGTTTTTAATTTTGATGAAGTACAATTTATCTATTTTTTTCTGGCTTTAGGTTTCACTTCAATAAATAGTAGTTACAATTATTATCATTATTTCTTCTTTGTTTTAGTGGGAAAAGGAGATAGGTGAAGGAAGAGATGGAAGGAGACAAAAATGCATTCTCACTAGATTTGGGCATATTTACAGCGAAGCAGTGAAATTAACAGTAATTTTTTTTTTTTTTTTTGTTTTTGTTTTGAGATGGAATCTTGCTCTGTTGCCCATGCTGGAGTGCAATGGTGCAATCTCGGCTCACTGCAACTTCCGCCTCCCAGGTTCAAGCAATCCTCGTGCCTCAGTCTCCCCAGTAGCTGGGATTACAGGCCTGCAGCACCAAGTCTAATTTTTGTATTTTTAGTAAAGACAGGATTTTGCCATATTAGCCAGGCTTGTCTCGAACTCTTGACTTCAAGTAATCTGTATGCCTTGGCCTCCAAAATTGCTGGGATTATAGGCATGAGCCACTGCACCCAGCCAAATTAACAGTAATTTAGTCAAAAATAAATATTTATTCAGTGTTGCTTATATTCCAGACACTGCTCTTAGCAATGGAGATATAAAATGACAAAACATACCTGTAACAGTATGCTTTGGAAAGATAATTCTAGTGACAGCTTAGAGACTTGGAGGCAAGAGAGACTGGAGGACAGGACATGGGTTCAAAGGTTATTGGAATACTAGTCATATGAGATGAAGGTCTGAACTAAGTAGCAGTGGGGATGGAGAGCTGGGGAAAGATCTGAGACATTCCTGAGGGGGAATCAAGAGAGTCTAGTGACTGGATGTGACAGGAAAGAATGGGAGGAAAGCACAGGCAATCCTGAGACTTCTAGTTTGACAGAATAGAACTGATAAGGTTAGTTAGTTATGACTTTGCAAAGAGTCAAGTCCTGAGGTAAAGAGATATAGGGCAGCTAAATTGTAAGGGATTGGTGTTTATGCTAAGGTGTGGAACAAGGGATATCAAGTGAGTAGTTTTTTGTTTTTTTTTTAGTAATCTGGAGTTGGGGTATACTGTGCTTATGGATTCCACTGAACTCTAAAATCTCGGCCCAGGTACCTTAGCACCCACAGATTAATTAGACAATTGAGGGCAATGAATATAAAAACCCTATATTCCATTGTTAATCAGAAATGAATCACTAAATTCTGTAAAAGACATGTATTTGTGTCTGGGAGCGGTGGCTCACACCTGTAATCCCAGCACTTTGGGAGGCTGAGGCAGGCGGATGACCTGAGGTCGGGAGTTCAAGACCAGCTGACCAGCATGGAGAAATCCCATCTCTACTAAAAATACAAAACTAGCCGGGCATGGTGGCGCATGACTGTAATGCCAGTTACTCAGAAGGCTGAGGCAGGAGAATCGCTTGAACCCAGGAGCAGAGGTTGCGATGAGCCAAGATCATGCCACTACACTCCATCCTGGGTAACAAGAGCAAAACTTCGTCTTAAAAAAAAAAAAAAATCCCAACAAAAACATGTATCTGTGGGCAATCAGGGTGGCTCATGCCTGTAATTCCACACTTTGAGAGGCTGAGGTGGGTGGATCACCTGAGGTCAGGAGTTTGAGACCAGCATGGCCAACATGGTGAAACCCTGTCTCTACTAAAAATACAAAAATTAGCCGGGCATGGTGGTGCACACCTATAGTCGTAGCTACTTGTGAGGCTGAGGCAGGAGAATCGCTTAATCCAGGAGGCGGAGGTTGCAGTGAACCACTTATTGGGGAGGATACAGGCTAGAGAGCATTAATTTCTAATGGCCCCATTTGGTATAGTTTCATAGGAAAGCTCTGAAACTATAATGCAGAAAGGAACTAAACTGCCTCCTTTTTTTTTTTTTTTTTTTTTTTGGGGTTCCTGCCTGTGCTGGATTTCTTACCAGAGTTTGTTAAGTCTGCTCAACAGCTAAGGGAAGGAGGCTAAGAGTACGTTTCATTCTGCTGTCTTGGCTTTAAATGTTTGGTTTGGGCTGGAGCATTGGATATGGCCTTGTTTCCAATAGATACTTCAATATTAAAAAAAAAAAAACAGAAAAAGGTTTTTAAAAACATAATTATGACTCCATAATCTGCCATGACAAAGATTGCTTTCAGTTACTTTCTAAGAGAACCCTAATCTAGGCATTATCATTCTTTTTAACCTGCTCAGATTTTCAATTTATGTCAGAAAACCCATGTTAATGTCGAACCTGCCCCTGCCTCAGAGTAACCTGGTTTAATCTCTTTGGGCTTGTTTCATCATCAGCAATAATTGTCTTGCCAATGTCACTGTCATTGAAGGAGCAAACAAAGTAACAGAGCAAATGCCCTTCGAAAAGTTCCCTACATATAAGTGAACCATTACTATTATTCTCAAAGTCTTATTTACAACCTTGGATGGCTGAATGAGCATAAGGTGGTCAGACTTCACTGTTCCTAGTAAGTTTTCCATAGCCTCTGCTTTAGGAGAAATAAATTTCCTCACATCCAGTCTTTGCTTTGTTGACTGCTCAACACCCTCTTTACTTGTCTCGCTTGCTTTTCTGAGAGTGACCATGACAGCATCCCTCCAAACAGAAGGGTGTTTCCCTTGTATAGACAAGCAGGTGCAGTCCCACCAAAATTTATTGAACTCCAAGCTAGATCAAAAGGTGGAGGCGCACCGATGAAGAAACGGAGCCTCTGTTTTCAGGAGCTTACACGGCCATTAACAGAGTGATACTGATCACATGCAAGTGGGAGTTGCCGCCTACTTGCAGAAGAGCAGGGGCTACAGTCAAGCAGCAGAGGGCAGAAGAGACTCGAGCTCGGCTCTGGAGGACGAGCTGGCCAAAGCCAGGATAGAAACTCCCGTGACTCATTCGTGTCTGCGACTTGGAAGGTAGCCCTTCTGGCACTCCGCTGTCTTAAAGCCCAGAGCAAATAAAAGATCCTTTTCTACAACTACAGTAGATAGACCTGCAGTCAGGACTTTGAACTCACAGCGATTTGCCGCACCATTCCCTCTTAAGGAACTACTGCGCCCTGCAGCGGAAGAACAGCGGCGGAATTCCACAGCGACACCTAAAGGCCCTGAACACCTTAAAGTCCTCCTCCTAAAGAATCTCGGCTGCGTCTGGCCCCGCCCCTCACTCAGTTCCGCCCCGGACGCGACCTCGTCTTATGGCACCGATTGGCTGACCCCTGTGCGTGAGGGCGTAGCGTCGTGGGGCGGGGCGGAGAAGCCCCGTCAGGTCTCAGTGGTGTGTCCCAGGCCGTTGCCCCCGCTGTCGCGCTGCATCTGCTCCTTGCATGCCTTTAGATGGTACAGCCCTCAGCCGGGGCTTGGGGAGACAGTGCAGCCGCTGAGCATCTCTGCTGAGCTTCTCCGCCGATCCTCCTTTTCTAGCAGGCAGCTCATCTAGGCCAGGTCCAGGTCGAGGGGGAAAATGGCGCCCGCGCCCCTAGGCATCCCGGAGGAGCAGTTGCTGGGGTGTCGATCTGGATTGCTTTCCCGGTTACTCTTCCTTGCCCAGAGCGCTCTCCTCCTGTTGCCCGCCGCCGGAGCAGGTCTCTGCCCCGCGCCCTGCTCCTGCCGCATGCCTCTCCTGGACTGCAGTCGCAGGAAACTGCCCGCACCGAGCTGGAGGGCGCTGTTGGGCCTGCTGCCCCCCGACACCGCTATCCTGTGAGTAGAGTGGCCAGGCAGAGTAACCAAAAGGAGGGGGAGCTTTCCTTCCATAGGGGCAGGCAGGAGGGAGACAGGCCTGCCTGGTGGGAGGGCGTGGTCGAGAGCCTAAGCCCTGAAGGAAACTGCCCTCAGGATGTTATGAACTTTGTTTTAGGTGGTGGGAGCCTGAAAAAGCCGGTGTTAAGATTTCTGGAGACATGTATGATGAAGACCAGAGTTAAGATTCTTGGGGCCAAGGAGTCTGTGATTTCCTTAATTGGGGAGGAATTGGGGTGGGGATATTTAATGATAAGGACTCACGGGTCCTGGGCACCAGCATGGACTTTGGATGGTTGGTGGGGATGGGTTGAGCACGGAACAGTGCTTTCTGCTTACTTTGAGCTGCATTATTTGGTGTGTACCTCAGACTTAGTGGTCCTCAGGCACGTGATTTTTATAACCATGATCTCCAAAGACCTATGAACTGTCTTTTGTCCTTAGTTCGCATGTTGGCTGATTTTGTGCTGCAGTTTTGATACTTAACAGGGTTGAAAAGTTCATTATGATGAATCAGGAGATCCTGTACTAATTCAGAACATCTTTGTAAGTAGCATTCTTGATCTAATTTAAACTTAACTGTAAAGAGGAGTATTTTTTCCAAAACCATTTGATACCTTGTTTTCAGGCATCTTCTTGTGGCAAATAACCCAAAAATCAGTTCTGTTTATTTATGTATGTAAAGCAGGTACAACGGTTGAATGCATTCTGGAGTCTCCACTGTTGAGTTTTCACTTTGACAGGTCTTTATTAGACAGTGGAACTTGGAGGGCTCCTCAGTCTGAGTCAGCCTGGGTATTAGGAACAACAGCAGATATTAAATGTTGCAATTATGGGGCCTCTTAACCACTAACATACAGTTATTTCTCGTCACTAACTGAGCAACACGTTTATTAACTGACAGATTTCTGATGGAGCCGTTAAGAAAGAGTCATCACTGGGCCAGGCCCGGTGGCTCACCGCAACCTCTGCTTCCTGGGTTCAAGCAATTCTCTGCCTCAGCCTCCCAATAGGTTAGCACAGATAGGAAAGAAAGCTACCTCATATAGTCATTGAGAAAATTAACATAAATAACCAAATGTTTTAGTAAACATAGAACTGCAGTGCAATAAGATGCTTTTTGTCTTATGGTAGTGACACCTGTAGTCAATTCTGGTTTTATTGACTCAAATTTATTTATTTATTATTTATTTTGTTTGTTTTTGTTTTTTTTTTGGAGATGGAGTCTCACTCTGTTGGCCCAGGTCTGGAGTGCAGTTTGGTCAGGATCTTCCAGATCTCACTGCAAATGTCTCGCGCCTCCTGAGTTACTGCGTCATTCTCCTGCCTCAGCCTCCCGGAGTAGCTGGACTACCTACAGGTGCCTCTGTCCACTCCCCGTCTGGCTTAGTTTTTTGTTATTTTTTTAGTAGAGACTGGGGTTTTCCTGCTGATGTTAGCCAGGATGGTCTTTGGTTTCGATCTCCTTGATCTGTTGATTCCGCGCCGGTCTTGTTCCTTTCCCCAACAGTGCTTGGGATGTGTACCAGGCTTGTAGCCAGCCGCTGCCCTGGGTCCTATTGACTCAAGATTAAGAAACTCGTAGTCAGTGTGGCTGGGTTTTTAGTGTAGATCGGACGTTTAAACCTATTCGCTAGTACTCTTTGTATGCAGCAGTGCCTGTTTGGTATTGATATTTCTTGGAAAGGCTACGTGATCGTTATAACTATATTATTACCTGTGTTTACTTAATGTGTATGATTTTTCCCGCTTCTGATTAGTTGTATCGAGTTGTTAATGTCTTTGAATTAAATTGTATTAATTGTTGTATTGTGATAATATGTGTAGCTCCGTCTTGTTGCCTCCTTTGTGGTGTCTTGGTGATGTTTTGGCCTCTATATTTTGTTTCTTGGGTTTTAGTTCTCTTGTTTTGTTTTTTTTCTCGTCTCATCGCCGCGATACCTCTGGCTTCTCTGGTGTTGGAAGTAGTTTGCGCTTCTGCCCGTCAGCTGTCCAAGCAGCTGGGATTACATGGTTCAGTGCACTACCAGTGCGCTGGCTATTTTTTAGCTATTTTATGTTAGAGGGTAGGGTTTCACCATGTGTGCCAGGCTGGGTCTTAAACCCTGATGTTCTAGGTATCCCACCTACCTCTAGGTTCCTTCCCAAAGTGCTGGGTGTTTATCAGGGTGTGAGTCCTATCCAAGCTGGCCTCGGTTCTAGCTTTTTGTTTTTTTTTTGAAAAGAGTCTTGCTCTGTCACCCAGACTGGAGTTGCAGTGGCACGATCTCGGCTCACTGCAGCCTCTGCCTCCCGGGTTCCAGTGATTCTCCTGCTTCAGACTCCCACGTAGCTGGGATTACAGACTTAAGCCAGTATGTCCGCCTAATTTTTGTATTTTCAATAGAGACGGGGTTTCGCCATGTTGGCCAGGCTGGTCTCGAACTCCTGACCTCAGGTGATCTGCCTGCCTCAGCCTCCCAAAGTGCTAAGATTACAGGCACGAGCCATTGCGCCTGGCCACAGCCTGGCCTAGTATTTAAGATTCTCCATTGGTTGGTAAACATTTAGAAGTAATTTTATGTAAGATATATTTTTGTGTTAAGGTTTGATTTTTGTTTAATGAAGACCAATTGCCTAGAGCCAAGTGATATTCAAAATTTTTAATGTCCTATAATGAAATTGACATTTTCAGTTGAAATGAAATGCCTTAGAGAGCAATTCTGTTGTAGAAATGTAATTGGATGGAAGTCTTGTATTGGTAGAACTCTTAGAATAGTAAAAGATAGTACCATACTATTTTAAATTGAGAAATGAAACATTCTTCACCAGTTGCCTTTAGCTATAAAACCACCGAGTACATTTGGATTTCTTTATGTAATTTTGAATGTTGAAACACATGTAATGCTTTAAATATATTAGTGATTCAAATTCACATGCTCAAACCTGTGACCATCAAAATGATTATGGACAAAATTCATTAATACTGGTTTTTGGAAACCTACTCAGATGCTATCTTTATGCTTCTCTGTATGAGAAACTCTCTAGAATATTATTTGATCATTCAGAGCTTGACTGGATTCTCTGTAGGTACAGAGCTCTTTATCACATTGTTCTGTTTACACACACACAGCCTTTAAAGACTAGGTTTATCACTCAACTTATTTTGCAAAGTAACTTTGTTAGAACCCCTTTCCCCCAATGATGTGTTGTCTTGGTCATTTCATGATAGCACCAAAACATTAAGAAGTATGTATTTTTAGGGTTAAGGACGCTTTTATAGATTATATAGATTTAGCTTTATGAAAAATTTGTAACCTTTTCTTTACTGTTTTATTTCACTGTAGACTGCTAAATTTTTTTTTTTTTTTTTTAAAGTGCGTGGGATTACAGGCCTGAGCCACCGGCGCCGGCGTGAGCCATACTTAAGGACAAGAACCCGAAATTCCAAGGGAGCACTGAGTGGTAGATACCTGAGGTCACCGAGTTCAAGACCCAGCCCTCCAACAGGTGAAACCCTGCCTCTACTAAAAACACAAAATTAGCCAGCGTGTGGGTGGCACCTGTAATCCCACTACTTGGGGAACCTAAGCAGCGAGAATCACTTAAACCAGGAGGCGCGGGGTCTGCATGAACCAAGATCCCCGCCACCTGCATCCCAGCCTGGGCACCAGAGCAAGACTCCATCTTGGAAAAAAAAAAAAAAAAAACTAAATCCACCATTTAATAGTCAAAACATTTGCCCAGGGTTACAAATAATAAAAGCCTTACAGAGGGCTGAAAGCCCAAAGTCACCACACTGGAAAGAACTTTCCGTAAGCCTATCAAACTTAAGCATGCTGGCACAGTGGCCTCAATGCCTGTGAATCTCCAGCACTTTGGGAGGCCAGGAAGCGGTGAATCACCTGAGGTCAAGGATTTCAAACCAGATCCTGCCATATGGGAAACCCCGTCTCCACTAAAAAGTACAAAACCTTAAGCTGGCGTGTGCGTGAACCTGTAGTCCAAGCTTACTCGGGAGCCTCGAGGCAATAGAATTCTTGAAACCAGGAGTGAGGTTCCCAGTGATTGAATGCGCCACTGCACTTCCAGCCCTATGGCAACAAGAGTGAGGACTCCGTCTCAAAAAACAACAACCAAACAAACAAAACAAAGCTTGTGTCCTCCTATATGCTAAAACACGGAATCCGTTTCACCAAACCATTATAAAGAAACAAATCACAGCAAATTTTAAAAAACAGTTATACATGAAAATAGAAAGACCAAAAAAAGTATGGTAATCAAGTATATACCATAACGCATAAATTAATCAAGTACAGCATGGGTTTCCAAATACTGATCCAATTGATAAAACTTTTAGCAATCTGGGCCCAGGCCACAGTGGGCTCCACACCTTAACTCCTATACTTTGTAGCCGAGGTAGGTGGGTCCTACGCTGCCAGGGATCAGGAGTTTGAGACCACTGGCAAAATCATGCAAACAACCGCTGTCTCTACTAAAAATAACAAACCTGACCAGGCCATGATGAAGGAGGCCATAACCCTACCATGAAGTTGAAAGGAAGGAGATCACTTGAACCGGCGATGAGGTTGCCAGGGTCTAATCGAACCTGCTTCACTCCAGCCTGGGGGCGGAAAAGTGAGAAACTCCATCCTC